CAAGAAATGTATTTGAATGTACAACTGCAAAAGAAAATGAAGGCCAATTTCAATTGCTCACCACTGAAGAGGGGGCAGCTATTCCTAACAACAGTTTTGAGAAGACAAGATCTATTGAGGTGTCTGACTGTCATATGGCAAATATTCTTAAACTTAGACATGAAAGAAAAACAGTAGGTTTCGCACACAGCATATCTGCGGACTTCCATGACCCCCGCCACATGACTGCTGGTGTTGCGGTTATTTTCAAAAAATTGTGTGGTAAACCTACGCCATCTCACTGTGTGACAAGACACTTGGCTATACAAGAAAAGGATAACATGGCCTCAATCTTTAGTTTAATTACAAAACCCACCTATTACAGCAAGCCTAATCCATATGACTACGATGCAGCGTTCCAGGATTTGACAGAGAATTTCAAGAAGCGGGGCCTTAAACATTTGATCTGTTCCCCAATAGGATGTGTCCGGGACAATGTAGATCCATCACATTTCATTAACAATATAATAAAATTTCAAAAATCAACCAATGCAACAGTGACAATAGTTTCATATAATCAAAATTCTTACCGGATCTTGAGAAACGGAATACCACATGACATCTTTAATAAGCAATTAGAACAGCTCGTGGACATAAACTCAAGAACTGGCTGCGGTAGTCCACACTCTACAGGACTGGCAGTAACCATAGTAAATGAGAAGGGAGAGCTGGGGAAGCATCAACAACATCCAACTCCAACCAGCATGGCTGCCTTCCCTCCTCTTACAGCACCAAGATCAAGCCAAGAGCCACAAGATTCATCCCCTGGGAAAGTCTCGGACCCCATAGTGAGCAGCTGCCCCAACTCCCCATCAGGAGAAACTCAGGACCATCCGGTCACTGCTTCACACACTGATGAGAGCTTTTCCTCCGACAGCACCAGCAACTCTGAGAGCAGCCAACTACCTGTGGTGAATTCAGCTGTGTGTGAAGTTGTTGGGGGTGAAACGGTTGAGCTGGGGAATTGTGCAGTGGAATCAAGTGTGTGTATGTCAAACGAGTCTGAGAGTTTTTTAATGTTAAGTCAGTCCATAGTAATTGTAACATAAAAAATTTTAGTTTGAATATTTTTCATCAAAATATTAGGGGATTAATGTCATCTTTGGATTCTTTGGAAATAACTTTATCGGAGCTAGATCCAAGCGTTGTTGTCTTGACAGAGCATAAAATGACGAATGATACAATAGAAAGACTCAATATTAATGGATACAGCCTTAGTGCTAGTTTTGGCCGAAAAAAGTCAAGGGGTGGAGGGGTTGTTATCCTAACTAAGCCATTCCTAAATTGTAAAACTATCATGCCATCTGAAATCCAAAATCTTATCTCAGAACAAATTTTTGAATGTTGTTTAATTGAAATACAAAAGGCTGTATCAAAGGATAAATTACTTTTAATTGGTTGTTACAGAAATCCTATCAAGCAAAACGAATCAGAGTTTATTAGAAGGTTTAACATTTTAATTGAAGTTCTCAACTTAAAGTACAAATACATAGTTTTTATTGGCGATATTAATATTGACATGCTTGACAAAAATTATAGAAATAGGAACAGTTTATTACATATTGTGAGAGCAAATGGATTTTCTTCATTAATTGACTTTCCAACTAGAATCACAGAATCTACTCAATCTACTATAGATAATATTTTTACTAATTTGGAACCTTATAATTACAGAGTAGCAGGCATCAACACTCAGTTGTCCGACCATGATGGTCAGATGCTAGAAATTTTAAATACTGTGACTAAACATTCTTCCCAAAAATTTTATTTTGAGTATAAAAGAAAATTCTCTGACTCACAAATTGACCAGTTTAAAAACTTACTTCAATGTGAGTCATGGGCAGATCTTTATGCCTCTCCAGTGGAAAATAAGTATAATATATTTTATGAAACATTTTGTTATTACTTTAACATATGTTTTCCTAAATCTCTGTCAAGGCAGCACACACAGCCTAACTTGATTAGCAATGAGTTAAAAGAAGAAAAACAAAAAATTTTTAATCTTAGCCAAACAGCCCGAGAGTTAAAATGTAAATCTTTATATAAAAAAGTTAGGAAATTAAATAAAACATTCAGGTCAAAATTGAAGTATTTTAAAAAGCAATATTATAAAACAAAAATTAACAAATCAAACAATGTAAATAGAACCTCTTGGTCTATTATAAATTCAGAAGTGGGAATAGGATCTAAGAATGTACAAAACATTAATTTAAAAGTAGGTAATAAGTTGAATTCTGACCCTGTATTTATTTGTAACAGTTTTATTGAATATTTTTCAAATGTAACTAGTATAATGTCTAACTTTGAACCAATGTCTGAGAATCAGGTAGACAATGAAATATTTCAGTTTGGTAAAAGGTTTCGATTCAGCTTTGTTAATGAGAATGAAATAGATATAATTATTAATAGTCTAAAGAACTCTTTTAGTATGGGCTATGATGAGGTTCCTGTGGTTCTTCTGAAAAAAGTCAAGACATTTTTACTAAAACCAATCACCCACCTAGTTAATTCTTCTTTGATATCCGGTATATTTCCTGATAAGCTAAAAATTACAAAATTAAAACCACTTTTTAAAAAGGGGGACAGGCAAATGGTGTCAAATTACCGACCTATAGCTTTGTTACCCTCTATATCTAAGATTTATGAAAAAGTAATTTATAATCAATTGGTAACATTTTTTGAAAATAACAATCTGTTTGACAACTTTCAACACGGGTTTCGCAGAGGTAAATCAGTTATAACTTCTGCCACTGATTTTATAGAATCGGTCATTGATAGTCTGGATGGTAAATTTAAGGTAGCGGGTTTGTTCTTAGACCTGCAAAAAGCATTTGATTCAATATCCCATGATTTATTAATTTCAAGGCTTAGTACCTTGGGTATAGAGGGGACTGCTTTAAATTTGCTTAAATCTTATCTCTCTCAAAGAAAACAGTTTGTTGAAATTATCTATCATAACCGTAAAAACTATAAAATTCCATATCAATCTTACACCACTGACTTAAAATATGGGGTTCCACAGGGATCCATTCTGGGGCCTCTTTTATTCATTATTTATTTAAGAGATTTTCCGCAACTTAGCAATTTAAGTAAACTCTGCTTGTATGCTGATGATACCAATTTGAAAATCATAGCCTCAACAAATGAAGAATTAGAAAGCAAGGCAAAATCAGACATATGCGTTTTAAATGATTTTTTTAACTCCCAAAATCTAAATCTCAATGTGGATAAAACAAGTATCATAAATTTTCAAACTCGAACTACCAGAAATCAACGTCGACCGATTATTAAATTTAATAATAAAACCATTGAAGTTAAGGATAGTACTAAATTTTTAGGATTAGTAATAGATAAAAGACTCAATTGTCATGTTGAAAAAGTACTTTCAAAAGTTTCTTCTGGATTATATGCCTTAACTAGATTAAAAAACTATTGCGAAATAGAAACTTTGAAGTTGGTTTACTTTTCATACATACATTCAGTGATTTCATTTGGGATTTCCCTTTATGGCTCAACCAATAAGAGAAACTTAAAATCTATATTAAGAATGCAAAAAAAAGCTATAAGAATAATTTACAACCTTCCACCTAGAACTTCTGTTAAGAGAATGTTTAAAACAGAAAATATAATGACAGTTTTCGGTATGTATGTTTTTGAAACAGTGGTATCTGTTAAAAACAGATTTCATGAAATAGAGCTGGTTGGAAGGAAACATGATTATCTTACAAGAAATCGAGGCAAGTTAGCATTAAGTCCTCATAAATTGCGCCTTTTCGAAAAAAAACCCAAATACGCCGGAACAAAATTCTATAATAAACTTCCAAAGGACATACAAGCAGAAGTAAATATAAAAAAATTTAAAAATAAACTTAAGAAATTTCTCATTAGCAGGGCTATTTATTCATTTGATGAACTGTAATTGACTTTTCTTTCCCTACTAATCAAAGTATGTTTTAACTGTTAGTTTTATGTTCTTTTACAATTTTTCCCATTTACTATAAGCATGTATGTTTTATTATAACTTATAAGAAATGTGACACTATTCATGTATATATTTCTAATGTACTTTATGAATAAAGATAATTTGAATTGAATTGAATTGAATTGAATCTGTTGACATTTGATCAAACTCATTTCCCTTTGTTTATAAATAACATATGGACGTAGTTTGAAATAGTTTTTAAGGTTAAGGGTTAACCACAGACTGCAGGACTTAAAACTTCCAGGGCAAAGCCGAAATATATATTTTCATTTAAACATCTGTTAAATAAGTCTGGTTCATAAAATAGTTTCCTAGCAAAACTTGATAACAAATTGTTCGTAATATTTGAATTCATCTAACTTGCTTCTTATTTTGCTGAATTATCATGTAGTTTCGGTTACAGTTCGGTGTGATGAATAAGTGAATGTTTGAAAGTGATTATTCACAGTGCAGTTACCCACCCGTTGCATTACCGTATCACGTAATTTACAATGTATATCAAAATTCCGTTGTAGTGGTTTCTGTTGTTTGTTTAACTTCCATATTTTATCTCAATTTAAAATTAAGCCACCAGTAAGATGAAGAAATGCGAGTGGCTGGAGGAACGCGGACGTTACCGCTTGCATCAACCTACCAATGGAACATTTGAAGGATACAGAGTAGCAGTACCACCGTGGTGATACATCATGGATACATCTCCTCAGACAAATGGACGTTAAATGTTTACATTGTGGTTGCTTACATTTTAAGCAAAGGAAAGACGACCGAAGCAGTTCAATGTTCACTCATTGTTGCCATAAATGAAAGTTCCGTTTACCTCATCTGCGGAATTCACTATACTTTCAGGAACGTATTGGAAACTCCCAATCTGAAAACAGGACTGTGAGGCTTAGATCTAGAAATTATTTGGATAACATTTGTCAATTCAATTTTCGCCTTTGCCATGGTCAGCTCTATGAAGCTTATTTATATGAGAGGATCACACAGGGCATCTACAATCTAAAGATCCATGACACGTGTCATCTCCGAGTAAATCATCTAATTCCTTTAGAAGGTCATCGTGAACCCGCACAGATGTATACTTGGGTACGACTTTGGCACTGGAACCCAACAGCGCTTGAAACACAATTCAAACAAAAAATGCCATGAAAAAATATGCGGGAATAGGGTCACATTGCCAACCTATTTGCCTAATCTTTTAAAATTGTGGCGGAAATGTGTAGGGACGAGAGGTCCGAGGAGTCAAGTGAGATTCATGTGCTTACTTATGCTAACTTAAATAAATGTCGCAGCTATTTTTAAAGCTGAAAACAGAGCACCACCTGACCAAATAAATCTTAGGTCTTTTCCAAAAACTAATAATTTTAAACGCGAATCCGTTCTAGATCCGTCGTTAGATCCACTTGCTTACCCTCTTATGTTCCCAATCGGAGACTTTCGTTTGCGCCCGTAATTTAAACACGCCTAAAAACAGAACATACAGGTAGTACAAATAATTGAACAATGCTATAGTACGTGTCGTACTGGTTGGTGTCAAGAGAGCGATTTAGCTTGCTACAAAAAGTCTGAAAAACTCACTTTACAGTGTGTGGTTGACATCTACGTTCTCATAGAGGGCACCCGCCTACATTACATAAGAGATAGTCAAAGCATTACGAGAGCGGATCTATATTTAAATATTGTTCATACTAATTTTATAATTTTTTTACAACATTATATTTTTTATATTTCTATAATCAGTCAGAAATTACTTTAGAGTGACTCTTTGATTAAGTCTTGCTGTTTATTTTTTTACTGGTTATTCTTTCATTACAGCCTGCAGTTTTGCTCGGTTTCGAGCAACAGGTTATCTAGTTTATATAAAATTGTGAAGTCAGGGCTACTAAGGAGGAGCACTAAACATACATTGAGCTAACTCTAAGGAAGGAATACTCAAATTGGGCTCTTTAAAATGACACATACAAAGTCAAAATTGGTTAAAAACTCTATGAGGAGTTCTACTCACAAAATATCCCACGCAAATAGCTAATTATGTATTGAAAATTATTTATAATTATTATTGATGATTGAAAATTTCATTAAATCGTTTCAAACTAGGTGAGAAGAAAAATTAAAGGTATGTGAACAACAAACGAAACTATATCCATTTTGGTCAGTTGAGAAACACGATAATCCCTCAAATCAAGATTAAAAATCTACTTTGCCTTCGAAGCATATGTTCTTTTTTTAACCCATATACATTATTGAACAATGACAACACTAGTTCATTCAGGAATAACTTATTTATTAGATTTAATGTTACACTAATAATCTTTAACGATTCAAAATGTAAATAGCTGAATAAAATGTAACTAATGTTAACTAAAATGTTACTGTACATGCATTGACATGAACAAAAGTGCATAGACTAGCAATAATTAATTTATCCTCCCCAACTTGGTTAAATATGCATTTTGTTTAAAAATTTAAATGTAATTTTACATAAAAACCTCTATATAAGATAACTATAATACAGTAGTTCTAGTAGAATAATGGACTAATTCACGTAAGAAGTTGAATTGATGATGTATAGTTTTAAAGAAATTGCAGTTTCTTTGTGAAATTAACACTTGATTAGTGTTGTTATTTTCACAGTGACTGTCGCCATGGCTACGATAGAGGAATTGTGGAGTTTGTGGTGTCAGGTTAGCAATATGTAACGTGTGAGGAAATACTTGTTGCAGAATATACCAACCCTTCTCAGACTGGGCTACGAGTGGATATTGGAGTGTTATTGTCCAAACCGAACTAAACCGGACTGGTTTAGTATAGAAACCCCGGACTTAGTAGATCAGCATTGATACAATAGATAGATTTGTAGATTGTTAAATAATGCAGTTTGCTGCCATAAGTTTATTTAAAAATGAAATTTAAATGAATTTGTAGATAAGTAAGGTCTAGTAAATAGGTATAATATCTTTTCACCATACTGTCCGGAAAACGGCCATTAATTCTCTAAATCATCCACAAAATAATCGTTTTTGGGTAACTTTGGATAGAGAAAAAAAACTTATAGTGAAATTTTCGGTTTGCTAACCTCAAAATTTAATGCGTGATTTTATTAGTACACTAGTGCTATACCTGTGCCTTGCAACAGGGTCAGTATGCGTAAGAGACAATGGTCGTCTAAAAATGGTTACACACACACCATTTGATTTAGAAAAGGAATTGAACTGGGCAGTATCCAAAATAAATGATTGCTTTAAGGTATAATCAATCAACATGTTGACTATTTTGTACTGTAAACAAAAATCTATCACAATAGTTCTGAACCTGTCAATAGTGTAATTTTCTAACTTTTTAATGAGATATCTTTAGTGAAAATATAATTACGCAAATGAAAATTCACTTAGTCTGCAGTTTTGCTGCGGTGGGGGTATTTTATTACTTTTTCCACAAAATATATCTAAAAATTAATTCTCATAAAACTCATAACAGACGAGGTTGGTATGAAAACGGTTATAGAATCTAACTTATCCTTATATACGTGAAGGTGATTTCTATGAAATACTACTCCTTCGTTAATAATGGACGGATTTTTACAAACGACGTGTCAAAATAAAGTATTTTTTGTGTAGACGCCCCCTTTCACCAATTCCTGTAATAAAAATCCTCGGGCTTTGCCCCACAGACCATCAAAGTTAGATTTTCGCCCATAAGATTAACATGGGGGAATTTAAATATTTAATTGGAAACTTTGTCCCCACTAATTTGAGATGGGCGTTTGAGATGTTTGACTAATTAGCTGGGCGTAGAAACTTGGTAGAGGTGTCCAAAGAAAGGTCTTGGTCTGTAGATGAGTTATCAAAAGAAAAACTAAGCAAAATCCCTTAGGGCTCTGCCCCAGAAGCCTTTAAAGATCCCTCCACAGAGTTGTTTACATTTTGGCCATGTGAATAATACTTTTTAATGAAACAGCTGTTCGTTTTTAAATTGTGTTTCAAACAACACACATTTATTGGGAGTTACTGAATTGTACCAAATAAGTATTTGCAATGTTATTTTCTGATTTTAAAATTGATTTTCCTCTTTATCATGTCATGTTTTGTAATATAACGTTCCATTACGAAATCAGTGGAAAATCCTTTTATCACAGCAATTCTTAAATTATTTCTTATTGAACTATCTTATATTTATTATACGGGTTGGTGTCTGCCTTTTTCACCACTTTTGCCTACATTTTATCATATTATTCTACACATATCAAATATTTATGTAGAAATATCTGCTCTTATCGTGTCTAATAAAATCTAAACATAGAAACCTTGCCTAAAATGGTACCCATCTTGACAAATTATTTGCGTACAAATAATGAACGGCCCAAATGAAATCCAGTGGGTTTCACTTAGTTTTTATAAATAAATAATTTCTTTTATCAATGAATTATTCCATATGCATAAGTATTAAATTTGTTTAATTTTGGAATGTAGGCTTTTATTTGAGTGCCTATATTACGGACTTTGGCGCACTGTATTCCACTACACCTAACATTCCGTAGAGAGATTATTTTGACATCTTTATGTTATTGATAAGGCTGAGACAACTAACTGACATCCCCCATGTCAAGGAATTCCAGCTTTAACAGTAACCCCACAATCAATTTCTCAAACTATGTAGAGGGTTCATTCATTGGCACAGAAGTACGATATGAACTGACGCGACGTGACGAAGGAAAAATCAAACTTACACTGTAACGTATAAACATCCCTTTGAAGTTAGAATATGTCTTACCAAAAAATATTTTCTTTTCAAATAAAATCATATTACACTGATGAAATCACAGAAGTGTTTAACTACAAAAGACCCACCAATACGATTTTAATACTATTTAAAGGTTATAATAATAATAACTCCGATGACGTACGGTATGGGAAATATTTTAATCATTGAATGATCAACCAAATTTGGCAACTAACGCAAATAAAATCATTATTGTTTTTACACTTATTACCCTTTAAACGATGCTAAATGCTCAAAATATGTATATTTCACCCAATTTATCGCAGTTAGTTGAATTGACGTAAGCCTTGAAAGTAACCGTCGATTTCGACGGGTTTCACTTAGTTTTTATAAATGAATAATTTCTTTTATCAATGAATTATTCCATATGAATAAGTATTAAATTTGTCAGTATTAAATTTGTTTAAATAAACTGTGTAGAGTAGTGAAATCAAGTGCATTTGACAGTTCTGCTTGTTTACATTAAAAAAATTATTGTGAATTCGCTTTATAACAGTATAGCTAGATGGATATATAGATTATGAATATGCTGCTAATCACAAGTTATTTTAAGTTAGGTTTGTAAACAACAGAAAATTAATCATTGATTATGATTTTGAATAACCTCAAATTATGTGGTCTAACTTTTTTTACGATTAGAAGGTTATTTCCACAGTATGATGAAAATAATTGTTCATCACTCGCCTCACGGATCGAAAGTGTCTTTTTGGTACTAAATCGTATTTCCAAACTCGGCTGCCCCTCGCTTGTAATACACAATTGTGGGCCAAAAAGAGCCACTTTCGCTCCTAATAAAAAGTACTATTGCTTGTAGAAGTAGTTAGTGATTCCTTTTTTTAGTGCAGTACATTTAGAGGAATGCAGGTATTTTAAGACAAACTGTACACAGCTGAATTAGCATCTTACTAATATTATAAATCTGAAAGTTTGTGAGTTTGTGTGTGTGTTGCTCAATCACGCATAAACTACTGGACGTATTGGGCTGAAATTTGGCATGATGATAGCTCACATTCCCGATTAACATTAAAGCATACTCTTATCTCAAAAATCCTTTTGGGCTCCGCCCCAGTGGCTCTTTAGTTCCCCATGTTCACCGTATTATTTTTCATATTTAAAAGGAACTAGTGTCCCTGTTGCTTGAATTCGAGCAATTGCTAAGTAAATATTTGTAGCAAACTGTTATAATACTATATTAGCAAACTTATTGACTGTTTAGGATTAACCTATGCCCTTCTTCTCACTTTTGAGTTCTGACAACAGCTGAAGTTTCATAACAATTTTCGTTTCCAATGTTAATCTTATGGAGAAATACGAAACTTTAAAGGGCTCCAGGGCCT